ATCTTTTAATTTTTTCTCTCTTTATATATTCTTATGTGGTCGTATAAAGAAGGTAGATGAAACTACAGTGCAATTTAAAATAAATTGCAACTCTATTAAGTCAACATAATGGGGTGAAATACACAGACAGGAGAGGCTTGGAAGTTGGTGAAAGTCAGCTGGTATGACCAAATGGTAAAAAAAGATTATTTGAAACAAGATGTCATTCCTCCAAAAACTGAACCCAAAGAAAGAAAGGATCAGAAATGTTGAAAATTAAATATAATAATAAAATTAGACAGGCCAAAAATGAGTGTACTCTTTCTTTTTTTCTAAATATTCCTGCCAGGATAATAAGGACGTAGAATTAGCAATCAGAGAGGATAACATTTCAGAGATGTGAAATTAATTCTTTGCATGAGTACAAAGAATTCATTTCACTCTAGACGAGAAGCCTTTTTTGATGTGTCTTCTGTAAAAGGCAGTCCTGCTTTATAAACCTTGAGCTCTTCAAAGGTGTCAGCAAGTATTCAGATAAGGGTCTGGGTAACACAAGCTGCTTCTGATTCCAAAGACTACTGGCAAAGACCCTCACCAACAAAATTTAAGGAAAGTAGACAGCAACTGGGGAAGAGTCCTGGATGGTTAAGTAGCAGAACTAAATACAGTATGATCAGAGGTATGGAAACGATTTCCACCTGAGTTGGTTTTCTTTGGTAAGAGTGCTACAAATTCACAATGGGCATGAACAGGCAGACTGTTCATTACTTCTTCCCACACATACATAAAGTGATCAAATTAAGAGAATGGGAACCAGAGCCTTTTCTTCTTTACCAAAGAGCAGGAAACATTCCTTTTGGCAGCTTCCTCCTTGCTAATAGATGCCGTCATGGAAGAGTGTTACATGAGGAGACTGGAAAAGTAGTTGGAAGAAAGGGATTCCTTTAGGGTTGCTAAGCTGACAAACACAAGTTCAATAAATATGTCTTCAAAAAGCTTGAATTTAGCAACATACGGAACATTTTGATAAATGAAAACAGAGAGAGTCTTTATTAAGGCTGTCCTACACTGAGGTAACCTGTTGCAAAATCAGTTGAAATCAGAAAGATGGAAAATTTGAAGAACGTTGCAGTAAGATAAAATATTCAGATGTTGACAGTTTACAGAGAAAGAGGTAATTAATGTAAGAACGGAATGAGGATGCTATAATTCAGTGCTTTATCATTGAGACATCCACTACTACACTGATGCCATTTAGTCTTTAGAAGATTTTCTTTTTAGGTTTAATTCTAGAAGCTTATAAATTCATTACATTTGTAAGGAACACTAAATTCTTGGATAAGATTATAACTTATTTGTTAAACTTTACAGAGAAGGAGTTGTCACTTTTGGTCATGTAGTTATACATTCTTGATGTGGATTCTAATGTTGACCACTGAATGAACAAAATACCTGATACATTATTAGTAATTAAATCAAAAGGTGCATCACACCACATGCATTTCTCCATGTACTTGTTTACACTCTTATGTGGAATGTAATCTCTCCAAGGCAACTCTCAGCCAAACAATAGACTCATCCACAGCTAAAATTCATAGGTCCCATATCAGCAATAAGTATACAAATTCTGCTCTTAACACTTTCAGTCTTCCCAGACAAGGGAATCTGATGGAAGGACAAATTCCCTGGTAGGGAAGACAGAGTCTGTTAACCTTTAGAATATACTGCAAGCCTTCCTGTTTGATAAAGATTTTTCATCACATTTGTAATAACAACAAATTCTACTATCCAAGTCCCTGCTTCAGGAAGATTTTCACACTAAAATTAAAAGAAGAAAAAGAGCAGAGATTCCTTGACTTTGTTAATGCTAATTTAATCATCGGTGGACATATTCAAAACAATGATATAATGCATGTCAAATTAACAGTTGATGGTACAGATGACTGCTATCAGGATAACTCATAGCTTAAGTTATGGGGCATACAATGTGATTCATGGATAATTTTTGAACTGCAAAAAAAAAAATAATTGTCAAACCCATACTTGGTATTAATACACCTTAGTATGGCCAGTCATTATTAGTAACTCAGTGGCATTACTGTACCTATTTCCAGTAAGCATAAGCAAGAAATTCTGAACATACTCATGGACGCTAAAAATAAAATGGAATTGTATATCCACCGCTGAAGTAAACTATTTACTAAATATCTATTATTACATTATAGCACATAATGACAAACTGCCAGTTTGGCTTACATTACAGTATTTTTAAGCAATAATCAAGAGTTGGCAGAGAGCTAGATAAGTGCTTGTTTACTGCATTTTGTATAAATCTAAATAAATAAATATATGGCAAGTTGTCCTAATCTAACTTCTCTTGGCTGATACTGGATTGTTCCTTTTTGCTCCACACATGTTTTGGCATATTTTCCAAGTCCAGACTTGAATGTCTGGAACAGTTACAAACTGATTATCATATTGATAATTTCTGCTCCATGTGTAAGGAAAAGAGCACAAGATCCTGATGAGAGATGAAGGTGCAGTGAGAAGGGTCTATTCTGAATTATCTTTTATATGGAAAGAATCTTGAAACTTTACACTGGACACTGTGCAAAGTTGCAAGAGTGGACAGTTTAAATTATATGTTTAAATGAGCAACATGCTTTCTCCAGATTCGTGTTGCACTAAGTCACTTAAATATTATCACTATACTCATCTACCTGCTCTGATCAATGTAAAAGAAGTCACCTCATGTCACTTCGCATGCCAGTGTTGCATTCTTCTCTACAAAGCACTACATTTTCTTGTGGGTTCCCCCCCCCCCCCCATTATCATTATATATACAATTTCGATTGTAGGAAAAGTGAATCAGGGTTACATTTTTCAGATTTACATCAGCCTTTTAGTTTGTTCAAGGCCTTGAGAAGTGATCAAATAACTTTGTTATTGCTTCATCACGTCATTACTGAATCTGAAGGACTGATCCATCCATTAGCACTTCTCAAGTAACTAAGCAGAGCATAACCTTAATTTTGACAGGAGAAAAAAACTATTACTGTATATGATAGAGAAATGCAAGATGACCATTATTTTGAGGCTTAGAGAGTCATTTGAATATCTGTTTTATAAAACTTTACACTGTTACAACAAATCTGCAAAAGCCTTAAGAATGTAGAATTAAAAATCAAATTATGTGTTTATTATAATGAGCCTATAGTACTTCACTTTATTTTGTAATTTAATTATTTTATTTACACAAATAAGGCCCCCAATGTTATTGCACTCATGAAGTTAAACACTTGACATTTTTACTCCTTAAAATGCAACATTTTATGATGTCTAGATATGTTTATTAATTAGTGATTATTAACACCCAGTAAACAACATCATGTCTTGTAAAAACACAATCTTTCTTCACAGCGTGAGACTGAAATCTATTATTCACTGATTCCATATGCTGAAATACACTCAAATGATCACAAATGACCTTAAGCATTAGATAAATGTAAATGAGGACAGGGTAGAAAATGTGCTTTTGATTGATATCTAAAAGACCAGGTTTGAAGTCTTGACAAGGGATGAAATCTGAAATTTCATATAAAATACATGGCAATTGGAAATCTACAACATCTAAGCTTCTGGATGGATGTACCATACAGCCTCTCCTCAGCAGGGATGAGATCTGATGCTGCTCACAAGAAGCCTTCAGCGAACGGAACCTGAAAGACCATTCCTGGGGCCCGTGTGGCCTTTGTCTACTTGGCAGGCACTTATTAGGATGCAGAGATATATCTCTAAGTTATATGCACGTACACCCTAATGAAGGCAGAATTTTTCTAACCCTAAGTGCTCACTTAAAAGAACTTCTCTACACAGAATGGCTGCATAAGCATAGGGATAAATGATGTGAACGATAGCCATTAAAATTGTATGGGTTTAACCCTCTATGTTAATAAGCTTATTCTGCTGTAACAGCTTGCCTTTCTCGGCCCTTTTACAGCTTTACTTTTGCCACTTTGAGAAGGACTGAGAGCCCTTCTGGAATGGGAATCATCCAAAAAAAAAAAAGGAAGATTCAGACACACAAATAAGAGGGCACTATTGGCTTTTAGGTAGCCATCTCTAAGCATATTCTAATTCTTAACCCTATACCATGAATATGAAGTACTTTACAATTTTCAAATACTACAAGATACGAACACACTTCAAATTTTCAGCTGTTCCCAGATCATACTGCACCTGCAGATGCCTCAATGAAATACACAGTTAAACAGCTAACCACAGTGGCACCACCTACTACAGGGTGGGTCAGGAAGGGTTCTGGAAATGATCTGAAACTGAATTCTCTGAACCTCTACAATACTCACCCTCCAAAGCATGCCTAGGGGGATAACTTGGAGACAACAGAGCTGGTGCAGTATGACAAAAATTCTGGGTGCACCCTGCACCTTAGGACATAGTCAATGAGGAAAGAGCCTCAGCATGCTGCACCTGGTTCTCATACTCCCCCCGTCTGTTTTTGCAGCGACAACAAAATATTGATTGTACAGACAGGGTGACCAAAACATCTCCCATGGATACTCCAACAACATCCACCCCAAGGGCAAATGGGATTTGTTCCCATCCTGAATTCTCAGAGCTATTTAAAATGAAACCTACCAGTGATTTAGATACATTCATCCCAAAGCCTCATACTCAGTACAATGAATAATGTTGATTCTGAAGCAGTCAAATTTCAACCATGCACTAAACCACAGCTTGAAGAGACATAGCATATGTAAAAAAAAAAAAAATACGATGGATAGCTTATGTCACCAAGATAAATCATACTGTATTAGCTATGTTAAGAAGCATTTATTTTTTAACACTTCCAAATTCCTGTCTTGTATAACTTACCCATTTGTACATACATCTGTGTCAGTATCAATGGTATAGGTCACAATTTCACAGCTTTGAACATGTTTCATATTAAATACACAATGACATGCAAGAATCAGCAAAACAGTTTAGTAAAATCTTACCAGCTTGACACTTTCTGAGCCTTAAATACTCCTGCATTTTGGTTTCTTCTGATGATCTCATTTACATCTGCAGAATATTTGTTAAGAATTATCCACAAAATTTGATCAGTAATAAAAATACTATTTTCCATTGCTAATACTTTCATAATGTCTTTGATCTGTTTAGTCTTTTTAATCTGTGCCAAGAGTCAGAAGCATAAATTTTACATTGTCACTCCAGCACATCAGCCATATATATCTATACAGCAACTTGCTCTTGTTGCCTATCTCTACTGTCTACAGTTAAAGAACTGCTAGTCCTGTAGCCATACAGGGAACTGAAAAAGACTTCCCATACCTTATGTACACATAAAGGCAACTGTTGCTTACAAACATAAGAAATCCAGTACACAACAGGAGCACCTTAACCTTTAGGCAAGGGAGTTTCTAATCCATTTGCTTTCTTGAGAATGGTTTGGAACCACCATAAAAGATAGTGGAAAACAATAAATGCCTTTTCTTCCCCATAGGTACTGCAACAGCACCCCAGCCTCATGTCTCAGCTTCTGTGGGTTTGGAAGACCAGGTAACAAATTTGGGTAGCCATTCAGGCAGACCAAAGCAAGGGCTGTCAGTGAAGAGTTTTAAGGGAAGCTGTGCCCAATCATCTATGCCTAGAAAGATAACCTTTCTAATAATTTGTGGTTAGCAAGATGCCATTGGAAGGAAAAGGTGTAGCAAGTAACTAAAAACTGTGAGAATACTAAATGTCACCCAGTGTGAATCCATACATACTTAAATGATTTGCTCTCAAATATAAAAAAACTATCTCAAATGTATATTTTTGGTAAAGATGTCAATATTTAAGGAAATCTGATGCTAATTAGGAGATGTTTCTAGGTGCTCAAAATATGATGAATTCTTTGCAAGTGTTTTTATAGGAAAATGGAACACTAGTGTCAGGCTCATTTAAAATATCACTGTATCTTTTTATTTGCTTTGCTGAAATCACATATTTGGCCTTCATAACACAGTTGGCTATTTAAGAAAAGTTATTTTAGGAAAGCCTCTATCCAAACAATGTAAAAGAAAAGACAACTGATATTATGTGAAGCCAAAAACCAGAAATGGAAAACTGACAGAAAACTGGTTTAAACAAATCTCTGTGGTTTGGACGTGCCTTTTTAAAATCTCTTCTACAATATGCACTGAGAAGTTGTAATGAATGTCCTATACCTGTGAAGCAAAAGGAAGGCATAAATAATTCCATGAACAAAGCATGCTCGTTTTAAGAAGAGTCAGAAGTAACACCGTTGAAAAATTAGCTACACTGCACTTAAATTATGTAACTGAGACAAACTATTAATAATTGCTGTAAACATGTTAACATTAGCTTTTTAAAATAATTTATGAGCGCATGTCTTCAGGCATTCGGGCTGAACATGACCTTTCTAACCTAAATTTCCCAGGACTCTTGAAAGATCCATACACTATATTTTAACGGTCATTATAGCACACTGCAACAATGTTTTGTATTATTGATGCTTTCAGACAGTAGTTCAAGTCACTAGTGCATGGCATGAAACAGAGCGAAGGCAGAAGGTACACAGCCTCTCTGAAACAGAAGATAACTTTTACTAAGAATTAACCTCATTCTTGGATTTGGATGTGTCAAACCAAGTATAGATGCTTCCAGTGTTCTGAGGAAACAGAATTTGTTGTTCATGACTATGTCATAGATACTACCTAAGTTGGAAAAATGTATCTGAATGTGCATCACCCAAAATTACAAAGGGGAATGAATCTGATAACTTTGCCTATGCATATCTTTATTATTCACTTGAATATTCACTGTCATTTTCTTTTTAATACTTTCTTTATCTAAATAATCCTGAGTGATAAACCACACTAAACCAATGACAAAGTTTTGAATGAAGCTGAAAAAGCAATAACATCTGTCTTTATTTTATTGATTTTGCAATATAAATGATCTGTTAATCAATTAAAACCTGGCCATGATAAGCACAAGGAGTGAGTTGGAGTGAAGTCTTTTAAATGGATTAGTAACTCAAATAATAATATCCTTTAAAAAACTTCCATAAACCTCATGCATAAGACCATTGATTAATATAAAATGCAGCTATATATTTCACAGTGAAATGGTTAAAATGACAACAACGAATTTGAAATTAACATATTCATAAAATGTTTTATCTTGTAATATTTCAATAACATATCCTAATGTAGATATTGAAAACATACACAGTGAATGCTTCATGTGGCAGTAAGAAATGGAGAATAATACAAAGAATGTCAAAAATTAAAAGAAAAATCAAACCCTCAAAAGCCTGAGACTTCACAAAGCAAAGCTGTTAGTTACGCTCACTGAATAACGATAACAACAACAAAAACAACAATAATTATGATGATGATGATAATACAAAGGCAGATTCTCAGATGCAATGCACTATTGCCAGGTCGATTTTCAATTACATTTCACTGATGTATTCATTTGTTTCTTAATGTGCTCATCTTGCCCATTAAGAATAATTAGCAGGCTTGCTTGGTGATTTCCTGGCTTCTGACAGTCATTTTTTTTCCTTTTTGTTGACAACCACTTTTACTTTTTGGAAAGTAATTTTTGGATATTATAGTATGACTGGCATGTAATTTAAGCTTCCTAAGAAATTTAAAGGCATGATGTAAACAGTAATTTTTAAACAAGATTATTTTAATCTATAATACCTACATAAAAAGCATAATACTAGGCATTAACTATTCCTGAAGAGCAGAATCTAGAAAGGAAAACAGTGTTTTATCCCACATTAATTTAATTTGGTATGCTAAATAATTAAAAAAATACCATCAGAAATAATAAAAATTAGCAGAAATACATTATTTTAGTCTGTGGCATTTGGGGGCAATTATTATTACCAATTACACTCAAAATTCTTACTGTTTTCAGTGAGTATGGCATGGCTGGAACAGATTTAAATTTAGCCTAAACTTCTGTTATAGCCAGTTACTATAGAATAGAATACAAAAGAAAATTACCATAAGACAGATCATAAAATCACTACTAAGGTTCATAAAACACATAAAATGCAAGATAAATTTTATTACATGCACTTTTAAGAATACAATCCACCTACACTGTAAAGTTCTTAGTCTGCTGCACTTTGGCACCCTGCTAATATTAAGCCTATTGTAAAATCCAACACAATAAAAGCACTTTGAATGCTGAGCCTTCAGAGCAGCAAATGTTAAAAAAGAAAAATAAATTCCTGTTAGAGCCTTCCACCAATCGTTTGTCTGAAAGGGATTCAGTGAGTGAATACAGATGAAGAGTTCTTGTAAGACTTCTGGAAATAAAAGATATTCCTAAAACATGCTGTGAAAAACTAAGGTGTGTTAATTAGAGGACATTAACAGTATCTTTTTCAGGACTGAAAGCACTTTAATTTGTTTAATTCCAAAGACTGAGTCAATACTTTTAGCACTCTCCAATTTTCCTTGTTATAGAAGACTTCTAAATTTCAAAAAAGTTCAGGTATGTTTATGGAATCTGCTTTGCAAGATATGTGCTGAGTTGATGATTACTGAGCTCACCTGAAGCTTCCTGTGGGTAAAATGACCTTTTGTTAAATACCTGTCCCTCTATAAAACATGGTTTTGTTTTGTTAGGCTAGTTTTGAAACACTTTTTTCTCCTACATTTTCAACTTCATAATGACATAGAAGAAAGGCTGGAAGGGGTGATGCTGATTAAAATACACAGAATAATGAATACTTCCTCTTGCAGACAGGAGTATAACGAACTAGAATTTAACAAAATAAAAATCCCTGGGCCACAACTGAGAACTTGCATTTTCAAGCTTCCCTCAAGTTTTAAAAGATATGATCTAGGATTGGATGTTTTTCCATTAAATTGTTACAGTGTTGTATGTAATTATAGTTACCTCAGTTACCCCTGAGAATGTCTTCTTAAAGGTAGTACCTAATGTTACTGCACTGCAAAGTCAGCAACTGCAATTTTTTTAAATCACGAACTCATTTAACTTATTTTTTTCCACTAAGTACTCGTTAGCTCTCGAATACACACAAAATTCAAATCTAAATAATTCTGATGATGCACTGGCCAAAACCTGAAAAACTAGTCTCCCTTAAAATGCAAATGGAAAGATTACCAAGGAACAAAAGCAAATAGATATCTTCCTTTCCCCCCCCCCCCTCAATTTCTAAGGGCTATTAGTATTCACTGTATATATCTGTTCTTGTTCTGCGCTGATATTTAATGTGGCCACAAATTAATGCTCACTCATTCTCTTGCTTAGCCAAAGTCCAGTTCAATTTTCTGAACTACATATTCATATTAGAAGTGCATAATAGCAATTTATTCTAATACAGGAAATCTAATAAAATACTTTCTTTAAGGGACAGAGCAGTTTTACAATCTTACATCAAGAGAAACAATGATAAATTGATAACTGATTAAGCACACTAAATGAGTAATTTGTACGCAGTTATAACTTCGCAACATCAATGAAGCCATGCATTTCAATATACACTGGATAAGCTATGACAATATACAAATACTGGGTATGCTTTAAGAGGCTAGTATCTGAAAGTATAAAAAAATAAAAAATAAATCCAGTTCCCATGCAAAATGGATATATGAAGGGGAGCTAATGATTTGATTCACTGCTATACCTCCTCTAACGTGGAGCATACACAGTAGGAATCTTTCAGCACTCAACCACGAGGCAAATATTTACTACTGTACTTGCTCTATACCAACACTTACATTTTTAATTAAAGAAGAAAAAGTGGCATTTATTGTGAGGGAAGCTGTAGCTCTGTTCAACATATTCTACATCTATTTTTTCATAACTTATGTGGGGACTTTTTCTTAATATACCCCATGCTGTCTGTCTTTATATCGATTGTTACTCAGCCAGTAAAAAGGAACGAGCACAACAAACGAGTTTTCTATCTGAATAAGGATACTTTTGATGGCCTTTTCATTTCCATCAGTTAACAGAACTTCTTTGACATCTGCAGAAATAGCAACCTGAAAAAAAGAGCACAGCAAACAATGAGCAAATATGCTTGTCTGTGTGGAAGTGAAGACAGGAGTGACAAGCCTTCAGTATCATGCTTCCTCACCTATTTCTCTGTAACAATCTTCAATCTTTTTTCATTTTATGTCTGCATTATTTTAATCATTCAATCAAATCAGTCAATACTTTTATCATTCCATTTGCGGGAGCCTCTATCTTGCTATCATTCTGTTCCGTAATTGCATTGTGACAGCCGATGATGGTATTCTGAGAGGCTTTCATTTGCGGGCTTCTGTTTATCTAGTAGAGCCATCATACAAGGCTGTCACTCTGCCTTTCAGCTTGCTTCTGTCTGACTGCCTGATGCCCTTCATATAACTTTGCATTGCAGGCAGATGGCTTTGTAAGGGTAATTTTTTTGTGAGCTTTGACATGCTCGCACATTGGGCTGTAACCTCGACACATTGTATAAGAGCGACAGGTTTGTCAAATGCCAATCAGTGTAACAATATGCTTTTATTTGTAGAGACATAAAAACTTGTCTAATGCACTGCACTGCTACATAATATCTCCTGAATACATGACTCAGAACCCAGAGAATGGTGAACGACTCTCCTGAATGGCCAATCTAATTCAAAAGAATCTAATTACCGAGAGCTCTGGATCATGTTTGTTGGTGTAATAATGCAGGCAAAACATTAGCAGCTATATCATGGTGCTCCAACTGTGATTCGCCAGGCTATTCCTGTATCTTAGCAAATGGGACTATAATCAGAAAAAAAAAAATGCTTCGGCTATGGCAATGAAAGACAGACCGTACGTGGCCTGGAATGTCACAACAAAAGATATTGACTACACGGAGGTAAAATGTTTCTGCTCATCGAGGCAACCATAAAATCAATATGATACGAAAGCAAGTCAATCTAGAAGGTCTCTCAAGACTCTGCAGCTTGACCGCAGCTGAGGCTGTTGACAGTTCTCTGACCCAGCAGTTGGAGGCACTGGAACATTTTTCCTTTTGTTTCTTCCTCTGAATGGGATTGGAATTGAGAAAAGACCTACCATGAGCCCAGCCAAGCATGTCATGCCACCCCCTAGCTCACACACAGCAAGGTCCCTGAAAGAGAGAAAGGAAATGGTAGAACCCATACAAATTAGATGAAAATGGTCAGAGAGACATATATGTTACAAGAACAAATTGCCATCTGCAGTAAGAACCGAGCTACCAGGAAGTTGTAGAGACATGACTAGGCTACCTCATGTCGTTTTGCGTTTTAAAAATAATTATGAAATAGAAAAGTCACAAAGCAGGCAAATCAGTGGGGGTTCCCTCATTAGTGTTCAGTGCAACATTACCACCGCTGAGCTGAAAAATCTGAGAAGGTTCCCTTTTTTCCCTTGTCAATGGCTCTGTCTTTTAGAACTAAACTAGCTAGAGTAGCGAAAGATAATTGTTAGGAAAGGATAACAATGTTAATCCACATTCATTCTTGCAAAAACAGTTAGAGAAGTAAATGGGGAAATTAATATTATTTATATATCTCTCCATATAGTTATGCCTAAAAGCCTTTCTATATTAAAAAGAGAAAAGTTTTAAAACAAGCCATATACCACAAAACAATTACACATGAAGAAATCCGATCCTTCAATTAGCACCTAAAACTGCAAGTGACCTACAAACAATGCTGTTATGAACAACGATGGGAACAGCAAACAGTTAAGCCACAGAAAACTAAGCGAAGTTAGCGTCAAGAGCCTAAACTGAGCCCGAGCAGAGGGCTGAATACATGGTCTGAAAGGCTGCTTTTAACTTAGACCATACTGTGCTGTTATTAAGCCGTGCATCTGAAATATAATTTGGCGCAGAAAGCGTGCCGGATGGGAGCTTGCAGGGGGAGCCACAAAGAATGTCCTCCAGAGCCATGGCCTGCCCCAGGGGAGGAGGGAGGGATGCTGACCCCGCGCCGAAACTGCGTGAAGCGGCGTCTGGGGCAAGGCAGAGCCTCAGTTTAGGAACATGCTGCTTTATAGCTAAATCTGCGGCAACTGTTACAGCTGGCAGAAACCTTTCCGCTGAGACATTTTTGACAGTCAGAAAATGGAATTTAAATGGAATTTCAGCTAAACAGATTTTTTTATTATTATTTTTTTTTTAATATCTTTTCTTGTCCCCTATAATATCAACATTTGAAAATTTATTTTTTATGTGAAAGTTTTACCTCCCTATTCACTTGACAGTGATATTTAGGAAGAGCATCTAGGAAGCCCTATTAGTATCAGTATACAGATGCTGATATTTTGTTCACTGAGGCCAGTGGACTATGCTGTATGACTGTGTAATAATTCTTGCTGCCTGTCTGTCTGGAATAGATTCATTTTTCTTAGACTCCACAAATTTTATTTGAAAAAAGTCTAGTTATCCTATTTAATGGAAATGGGACAAAAGGCAGGCATAGTTCAGAGGAACAAGCTGTACATAAACCCAATGAGAATATAAAACAGATGTGGGAAATTTGCAGTTTGTGCTTTAAATAAAACGATTATAGGGTTTTCCTCACGTAAGTTTTTATTTTTTTTAAACTGCACACATCTCATATATTAAAAATATATGCATATGGTTATATATGTAAGATTTACAAGCCACTTAATCCTTTGTAAGAGTCATGCTTACTGAAATAAACACAGGAAGTATCTAGTGTGGCGGTTTTAGTGCATTTGGAACCAAATTTGTATGTTCATAATATATGAACATATACATACATTTATATACATATAAACACACATATATACACATATATACTTTTATGCATATAAATAATTTATTTCAGTGCAAAGTTCCCTTATTAGCAAATATTTAAAACCATATCCATCTCTCAAGTAATATTTAGTGACATTTATCAATGAGAATTAAAATAAGAAACTCTACTCCGAGCGAACCTCTGAAAGGGCATAATTCTGAGAAACCAACTGCCCATTTCCTCCATGGAAGTTTGAGTGATTGCTGTCTCTGAGTGCCCAGGCTTGCATACCCAAACTAGGAAACTACCCTTTGAGTGAGCAGCACAGGGAGGTTTGCTGTGAAGAGCCTCTAAAAACAACCGGACCACATGAGCTACAGCATGGAGCTGGACAGCAAAGTGCTACAGGGACACCACTATGGCAGCAAAAGTCACACACCCACCAAACTTGAAGGAGCTGCAGCTACCAGGTTAGGCATGTTAGCTGCCTCTTCTAATTGGGTGGGCTTTGTTCAGGTGGTGGACAGAGTAGAAATGAACCAGGGTATGCTTTGGTGCCAGGTCTTTGATTTCAGATAGGACTCAGAAAGCTGCAGAAACCGGCTCACAGCTGATACCCTTTCAGCATTGGTACAAGAGGCAGAGACTTATAGCTTGGTCTTCCTTATTTTACCAACACCGTATGTACACAGACTGAAGGATTTTGCTTGCTCCAAGATGGTTTACTTGGTATTAGCCTTGCACCCTCACTCAGAACACAATTTATGCCTCCAAATGCATTGTTACAATGGCTTTTCTTGCACCCCATTCATCCTCTGGACAATGAAACTTCAAGGATTTCCAAGTGCAAAGCTCTGTATACTCAAGGGGAAAGAGAGAGGATGCAGGATGGATTTTATTTTTAGGTGTTCCTATTGGAGCCTTGATAACTGTCTTCTCGATAACTGTTTTCTACAAGAAAATGTGAAAAAATAATAGCAAATAAAAGTGCAGCATGTGTCAAAATTGTTTTACAACACTTAAATACAGGTATACATTCCTACATCGCTATAAGCAGTGATTATTATGTATCTTATCAGGTAATATTTTGCTTGCTTTCTCAACAGATGTCAGTTTAAAGAACGTCTTATTTTTCCTGACCTTCACAATCAGTACTGATCGATTGGCGCTTCACTTTTGTTTCCCAAAAATCAAAGTGAAATAAAACGCCTTGAGTGGAAATCAAAAGTCTTTGACATATAGCAGAAAGCTTGCTGTGCAATATTAGTACCCAAAGGCAGCTCAGAATTCTTTGTTAAGAGCAACATGCTTTCACCTTGAACATTTTAAATTTAATCTGAAGACTTAAATCATAGCAATCTTTGCCATGCAGATACAATAAAACTAACATATTGGAAAATATCTTTTTATGTTGAACTCTGTACCTGAATGTTTCATTATGCTTCAGGCAGTAGTAAGCCAGCACTTCCTCAGATGGCCAGAGACCTATAAAACAAAGACATTCATTTTCTTAGAACACATTTTCTGTTGTCTAAAGCAATATTTGGATACATATAACCATTTGCAGACTTCTACCAACTGTTTCATTTTCTAAATCTGTCATAATACCGTGGAATAAGAAACAAATATGACTTTCTATGGAAGATTTCTGATTTAAGCATAGGAACTGAAAATCTCATAGATCTCATCCTGACTAATGATCAGAAATTTACTTTATAGATACACACACATAAACATATACATATATCTATACATATGATTGTCAAGACTTTAGAAGTTATATAAAATTCCATTCTATGAAACTTCTGACTTTTGGCATTTACATGAACATCAGTGATGTTGCCAGCTTGCTTTGTAGCCTGTTTCTAATGGTGGACAGAAGCCCTGTATTTTCTCATTAGCTGTCTTCTCCAGGTATTTTAGTTCTTTCCAGTTTCTTTTTTATTAGCTCCTTTTCTTTTACGTTTTGCTAGATCAGGCATCAGTCTGACCGTAAGGGACACTGACCAGCCACACATGCTAAGGACAAACACAGGACAAGGGCAATAATGAAGCATAAATTCTAGTTGTGGGTCAAGAAGTTCCTGAGGGGCAGAGGGGACACAAGTTTTAAGTTCTGTTTTAGAGTTGCCAAAGGATTTTTCTAGTTCCCTGTCATTTTCATTTGAGGTCCCCTAGTTCTCACATGGAAATAAACAGGTGCAATCACGGGGG